AAAAATTTTTTCCCCCTCTTTTTTTTTTTTTCTTTTTTTTTTTTTTTTTTTTTTTTTGCCAAGACCTGTGGCTACATGCACCTGCTACCCCCCAAATTTATGCCCATAGCAATATCTTAAAGGGACAGGAATCAAGACAAAAGGAATGCACATAGTTGGATTTCCTATGCAACTCATTGACGGAATATGCCTGTAGTGATTTTTTTCAACAGGACTTGTCAGCTTAAAATTATAAGTGACTTTGAGCTGCTGGTATGCATTTATGTTGGCCATTAGGGTGGTCAGGATGTCTAACTTAGGGAATAATAAAATGACAAAATTTCCCAGGATCAATGGACTCTAATTTTACCTTTATTTTGTTGACTAAAATCCTTCCCTAACTGGATTGTTTGAGGCAGTATTATCTGTTTATTTTATTCCATGAGGTCAATTATTGTAGAGAATTCATACAAATAAAAAACAGTATTGCCTAGGTACAAAGTTAAGCAATAAACTCTTAAGTAAAACATGCTTACTGTGGTTAAAAGACACAAACCACAACAAATTTAGCAACAACGCATCATATTAGATATCGTGACCTTTGGCACTGGCATTTTCCAGTATCGTTTCAGATAGCACTGGTAAAGATGGCAGACGTAATTTAATCTCTTAATACTCATGTCTCAAGCAGAAATGCAATTCTGAAATAGCTTCAGCAGAAACAACATCTTTCACACTTACATTTAGGAACCAAGGTAATCTTTTAAAAGAATTAGTGCATCTAGCATGATCAGTGAATGAGGAGGAATTTAATAGTAACTCAACCAATTATAATACCTGATATACACACCTGGGGAAGTGAGGGTACTATGCTCACAATTCAGAACGAATAAGGCAATCTATTCAATATCATCCATCTTCAGGAAGAAGCATATAAAAATCAACTTTTTTTAAACTATAAGCTAGTACATTGATTCTTCTTAACATTTGTTTTTAAAGTGGTATTTCTCATTCAGGATATGGACTCCAAGCAATATACCTGGCTCTGGCACTTTGTAACACAAAGAAACAGAAACCAGTCAAGGCAATCCATGGCTTATAAGTAACCACAACAAAGTAGACAATGAGTAGCTCATAGGTCATCCCACTCGCAAAAGCTAACCAATTTCCTTTACCTTTTTCTTGAAACAGAATGTACCAACCAGCTGGTATCACAGAATACCCTAAACATGGGGGAAGGGGAACAAGGGACATACCAACTACTGAGTGATTAACATTTCTATCCTGAAAAGAAAGAAATCACTCAGCAAAATTATTTCCTGGCATTCATTTGAACTATGGGGAGATACTGTTGTGGTGTAAAGGAAAAAATAAAAAGAAAGTAAACTAAACACTTTCATACTAATCTCATTTTCATGGCTTCCTCCAATTAACATTTTTACCTCATACAAGGGAATACTATATAAGTAGCTAAAACTTCAAGAAATCAAACCAGGATTCAGAGTTGGGCTTTTTCTTCCCCATTTCCTTTTTCAGCTCCCTGCCTTCTAATAAGACAAACTTTTGGCAGGAACAAGGTATCCAGACATTTTGATGAACTAGACAAGGAATGTCTAAATGAACAAAAACCTTGGCACTTGTAAATGAAGCAGTCTTTTAAAAACCAAAGAGCCAAAACAGGCTAGCTAGGCTTCCTGAAAAAAAAAAAAAAAAAAAAAAAAATCCACCTCACTTTTTAAAAAGTGAGATACACAGTTTTCAAAGATCATTAAAGAAGTATTCTAATTTAGTACCTTCGAGATCAAAATTGATAAACTTTAACCGTAATTTCTAAACAAAACCATTAAGTGTACACATGCCCCGTTTACATCCTCAGCAGGTTTCAGATGCATATATAATCAACATATGTAGTTACTTACTTGCTTCCTTCTGTAATGAGCAAAGTGAGAAAGTCCTAAAACTGTTGCAAGAGCACCTCCTCCAACAAGAACAGTCCCTTTCACTGCCTTTTGAAATGCCATTTCTTAGCCTAGAAAGGGGATAAAAAGGAAAAAGTGGTTAATTGGGATTGTAACAATCCCAGTAATAGACACTATATAGATTATGAAACTATGTGAAACCAGGAAACATAAAATAATGAAGTTACTAACATGCCAACTTGTATACCACAATTCAAAAGCAATAGCCAAAAAAATCTAGATAATGGAAGTGATTATATAAAAGTTACTTTTAGATCTGACAGGAATTAAAGAAAAAAAGAGACTCAAGAGAAAACTGAGGATATTTACACAGTATAAAGTCAAGAAAGGTGAAAAGAAATGTCATTGTGTATTTGACAAAACTGCATGCCGTACTTGCAAATTTGTTCAACAAGCTAATCCCTTCCATAAGAAGAACTGGCAGAAATCTTGGATCATTCGACATGACAATAAACCTCAGATTTGTTTCAGGTTCTTCGGCAAATGTTTAACTCAAATTGTGGTACAACTTCCTCCACAAATTTTCCCTTCCTAATAAAGTTCTCACCAGAGCCAAAAGCCAACGCTTGCATTTCTACAATTGTAAGAGCCTACATTTGACAGATAAAAACTCAAATGATACCATACCTTAAACATTTCATAAACTGACTAACTTAAACTGTTGCAATTCCCTTCATTATGGAGACCCATAAACTGACTAACTTAAACTGTTGCAATTCCAGTCATTATGGAGACTTAAAAAAAAAAAAAATTAGAAAGTTTTTTTTAGCCAGACTTACATGACATGAAATTTCAAAAGGAAAACCTCAGAAAGCACTCTTTCAGGCTCACTGTATATGTTTTTTTTAGCCAGACTTACATGACATGAAATTTCAAAAGGAAAACCTCAGAAAGCACTCTTTCACGCTCACTGTATATTTCCTTATTTTTATTTATTTATTTATTTATTTATTTATTTATTTATTTATTTATTTATTTTTGACATAGGGCACGTGCACTCACTGAAGAGAGAGAGAAAGAATGAAAGTAAGAAATCATCCCTTAGGGGGAATGGCCACGCCATAATCCCTTCTCCTCCATTCTCCTCTCAGTATTTTAGGCACACATATACATGCACCCGGCATGAATTTGAAACCACTAGGTTCAGAACCTGTACCATAGTTGGTCATGAGGGTCTCCAGCACCTTAGCCACTATGTCACCTACTAGCCCACTGTATATGTCTAAATAAACTTCTATATTAGGTGGGGCAGCCCATGGCTGTTAAGGCAGCTGGATCCCACATGGCCAACTCCACAGTTCAAGTCTTGGACTTGGCAACATGAAAAAAACAAACTGGGCCCAAAAGTCCCAAAAAGAGTAAAAGATGGAAGAGAAGGGATTGTAGGATGGCCATTCCCCATGGGAATATGCTCTCTTACTTTTCCTGTCTCCCTCTCTGTCTCTCTCTCTCCAGACAATGCACATATACTCAGTCAAATTAAAAAAAAAAAAAATTCTGCATTATGTCAGGTCTTGACTTTTTTTCCTATCTGGATAGATAGAAGATTTTTACGTCTTTACAAAGACCTAAAATCAGTTTTGAATTTTTTCAGAAACAAACCCAAAAAAGTTGCATAAACATGAAACCATCACCAAAAATACTCTTGCCTACTTTTGTTCTCTTGAACATAAAAAGATAATGCTGTATGATTACCTAAAAAAAAAAAATTCATACTCAGAATTATGTAACTGGATGAGCTGAAGGGTGCCAATTCACAAAAGCAGCAGGCACACTCACACCGTACAGGGAAGCCACTCGCCTTTTTCCTGTGTGGGTAGGGGGTCTGGCCTGTCTAGACAATATATCTTATACTCTACTGCTGTCTCACAACTCTTACTATAAAGGCAGTTATAACTTAGATTACTAAAAAACATAAAAGTATTCCAAGATAAATTTTAATACAGCTAAATGTTTGGGTCCATACTGGATGGCTCTTATTCATGATTGTAAATAATTTCAATGCAGTTAATAACTATGATGCTACAGAATAGCCACCTTGGAATACTAAAAATTATAAACTAAAAGTTAACATTTCTTATGATTTCGTTTTTGCCTCTGAACTCATTCTTCCTAACTAACTGGCATTCTTAGACTCATCTCTTCTATTAAGATTCTTTCCAAAAAAAATATTTCACATGCATATATGTACTCTGCTAGAGGTCTCTTTTTTCCTTTTTTTCTGTATACTAACAATCCTCTCTTTCCTAAGTTATAGAAGACAGCTGGTAGATGCAGTCTAGGGATGCCAATTCATCATTCAGTCAATCCTAAGCAAAACCTACCCTATATAGCTCTGAATAGTAAAAGCCACAATTTATTGGGCGCCCATTTGTCATAGCTTACTATCACTAAAGGTATTGCTTAAATGCTCACATGGATGCCTGTCACACAACATTCCAAACACTGGCAGCCCAGAGATAGTATTTGATCTTAAGACCAGCTGGATTCCATTAACAGGTGGGGACAGAGTAGAGTTCTAGTTCTAATTACCTAAGAAGTACATGTGCCTGCCCCATACAGACAGCAATCTGGTGGTCTGTTGAATGTGAGTGCTGTGGCTAACTGACTTTAACTTAGTATCTTTGCTTAAGTCTTGTTGATAATGTCATTGATGACCTCACAAAGGATGCCACATACCAACATGGCCGACTGAGGGATGTTATAGATAACAGTCAATGAGAATGTCTCAGTATAAGAGGTGTTCACTCAGTCAGTTATGTTTAGTTAGTTTTTCTCAATGTATGGGTTCCCAGGTTTCTTACCTACCTTATTGTATTGTTTCAATTTGATTTGTCTGAGACCAAAACTTGCAAAGGGGAACATTATTGTGTATTTCCTCAATGAACCACTAATACAAGTGAAAAGCTACATTCACATATTATTTTGCAGAGTTGGCATTAATATTGACTTTAACCAATGAAGTTTCCTTTTGTGATAATTTCATAAAATAATCTATGCTGGAAAGATCAGTATTTCTACTGTGACCAAATCCTTCCATAAAACCATTCTGAACAATGAACAAACGACTATTACGAGTCATTCAAAAACCAAGTACAGAATCAGCTTTATCTGGCTCTTCTAAAATTATCATTACCTTTATTGGACTGTGAATGTTATAATGACAGTTGCCACTTATTACTTGCTAGGTAGTAGTTACTGTGCTTTTAATTCTTGCTATACATAAGCTCATTTCATCCTCACAACATCTAATTTCATAAAGAAGCAGTTATGGTTCAGAGGAAGAAAGGGATTTGCCCAAAGTCACATCCAGTAAGTGAGAAGACCACAAACAACTAAGTCTGTGTCCTTAACAAGTAGATGGTTCTGCCATACCTTTGGTCTCAAAAAAGGCAAATTTTCCCAGTGAGTTACATAATATTTTGCTGTCACTTCTAAAAGAAGGCCCTAATCTCAAACACACTCTGAAAGTGCATAGTCCCATGGCATTAGGGTTTCTTTCTAATGCAATGAAGAAGCCTCTGGCAAAGTATCTACTACTAATCTTTTGTCAGATCATGTCAGAGTTTTCCTTAATGTGGGAAGAAGGAAATTTAAAACTAGATCAGTGTAACTCATTGCTGTGGACTATGTCTACCCATTTATTTTGCACTGTAAGGAGATCAATTTTCACAATGATTGCAAAGAAGATGATATTCTTCTAAAAAAAGCTGCAACTCGAAAGTTAGCAAAGAACGGGATCAAACATATTGACAAATCTTTATCAGTTGCAATTAAAAGTGTAATAAAACTGGAGAAATAAAAAATTATCCAGAAATAAAATTAACTCAGTTGTTGCAGCTTAACATCCATGTTTTATAGCCTATTCATTACACTACATACACATTGACTCAGGACAGGTTCCTGCATTGGCACAGAACAGTGGTAGCCCTCTAATTCTTGCAAGGAGAACATCCACTGAACTGGTAAAACCTAAAAAAATGACACTCAATTAAAAATATAAGAGCTCTCCAAAAAGTTTATGGCAAATGTGTATTTGAAAAAACTGGGAGAAACCATGTAGCTTGGTGGTTAAGGCAGCTGGGTCCCACAGAGTCAGCTGCATGATTTGAGTTCCAGACCTAGAGCCTTGAAAAACATAAGCATGTGCATGCATGCCCAAAATCCCAAGAGAAGAGCGGAAAAAAAGGGATTGTGAAATGGTCATCCTCCCCCCCACCCACCCCGGGGGGTGTGCTTTCTCACTTTCTTCCTCTAGTGAGGACATACACACTAAAGCAAATTTTAAAATAATAATAATGTTAAAAGCTTAAAGAAAAACTATGCATAGATTTCAAAAGTTCCTGTACCAAAATGAACACATACTATAATTCCATTTTTCTATTTTTAAAATCCTCTCATACCAATGAGTTCATCAACTGTCCTCAAGAAGTTGTAGGTACAAAAGGAAAGTGTCTCTCTGCTCTTAGAAGTTGGTTGGAATGAACTGACAATAGACCCATTAATGAAAAAGACAGCATACAAAATGTATTAATGTGCATGAAGGAAAAAGATAAATAACACGGTATCATTCTGGGGGCATACAAGTACTATTGGCTAGAGATGGTATGTGGTTGAAAATGACATTTACAAAGAAGTACAGTGCAGGACAGGACAGAGGAAGACTCCGGATTTATAAAGTAAGGTATTTCTCCAATAATCTTATGGCAACAGGAAGTTGACTAGGAAGAGAAAGGTTTTGTGTCATGATTTATAAAGTGTTCAAATAGAGTTTGTGTTGAAGCTTATGATGAAGACAATGAGACCAATTAGAGGACAATAAAACAGTCCCTCTGTGAGAGGGTGAGGGCCTGATTTAAGGCAATGTTGGAAAAGCAAATGCAGAAAATGAAGCTTTGCAGAAACCTGATGACAGCTCTTAATTAGAGACTATGACAGCACCTGACAACCCATTACAGGAGGAAACAGGAAGAAACTGAACATGGTAAAGGGTTTTTAGCATGGGAGCTGGGATTGACCCCAACATTACAAGTATTAAGATCTAGAAAGA